GAAAAGTGAGCACCAATCTCTTTCTGACTTTTCTTCTGTAGCCAACTCTGTTCCACTTCTGACCTTTTTTTTTTCTTTGAAGTACGATTTTCTTTGTGCCAACACTATACCCAAAATAGAGATAAAATACTTTTCCATATGAGGTAGTTTAATATATGTGCTTTCACTCAAGTAATAAATCAGAGCTATTTGGCACCCTTGGGAAACTTTTTATAGTAAATACTACAGAATTATTATTTTAACAGAAGTTTAATCTAAGATCAAAGACATTCTTCTGAAGGGACTCCCTTTATTCTCTCTTGTTCCCTAAGGCTTTCTCTGATGTGGTTGTGCTGAGCACTGGAGCATTAAAAAAAAAAAAAAGGCTTTTAAGAAGGCTGGCTTGTAATAATAAAACCTGAAAGGCCAAGTTCCTCCATGGTTTGGTTGTGGTGCAAAATCTTGAAAAAAAAATCTAAAACCCACAATTACATCTAGAAATTTTTTAATATTCACTCATTTATTATTTCATTCAATATTTATTAAAGCCTCTTTATGCTCTGTGATCTGTGCCAACTGCTAGGGATACAAAGAATGAAGTATGAGTATGCACAGGACTATGTACAGATGAAGTAGACAGAATTTAGGAGACAGTTGTGTGAATGGAAGGAGCTAGTACATCGCTGCAGAAAAATTGGTGTTTCAGTGCATTTAGTCTCCCTTCTTATCTGGAAAACAGCTGACTTCATTGTTTATTCTTCAACAATATTCACAATGATGCTTGTCGCCCATATTCATGTGTGCTGTGTAAATGCCAATCAACTAAAGTTGGTTTGGGATTTAGAGTTGGCAATGGAAGATCTCAGAGTATCTAGTTTGTTGTTGGTGTCCCTGACTATAAGAAAGACTCTTCAGAGCTAAAAATCTATTGCTATTTCCCTGATTTTGTGATGTGCAATTATTTAAGCTTAGGCAATCAACCTAAACTTCTCCCCTTTATTTTTGTCATCTACAAAGTGATAATTCCTATCACTCTACCTTGCACAAAACTGCATATGGTTCATGTAAAAATATAAAATAATACAAAAATGATATCTGTAGTTAATCTTTGAAGGGGAAGAAAAGAATACGTCTTTTAAGATTCGTAACCTCTAGTGGGATAGAAACATGAATGAAAAGATTTGACCTGGCACAAATTCACTTCTAAAATCCCAACAGCTTTTAAATATGTGCGCAGGCAATAACCAGTCATTGTCATAGAGGTGTGGCTTGTCCTCTGTTTCTCTAAGCTGAATTAATTACTATTTCTGTGTTGCCAATACTTTACACAGAATTCTGCCATTTTAGCTACCAGGCTATGTTTTATTTCTTACTGTTGCTTTCCCATGTTTTATTGTGAGTTCCTCAAAGATTGATTAATTCATTCCAGCATCTAGCACAGGACTTCTAACCTCCATTTAACAGCTGATTGACCATAAGTGAAACTTTCTGACATTCAGTTGCCTCATAATAATTGATAGTAACTGCTCTTAACTGAGTGACCACTTTGTACAATGCATTACACTCAGTGTATCATTTAACTGTGAACTTGTCTTTTTAGATGGTCTCTTAGCAACATTGTCCCAAAGGGGACATGTTGAGGGATATAGATTTATCTACATAGATCTTTGTTTTGCCTCAGAATTTCATCAAAAGAAGGATTGATAAAACAATAGAATAAGAGATAATGGTAAGGTTTCTGACAATAAAGCGAACTCCCTATCATTGAAGCCCCATTCATATTTAGCAATTTTTGAACCTTTTCCTTGCTAAGAACATAAATAATGAGAACAATAACCATAGCAGCAGTAGCAGGAACAATAAAAATAACTGCATGTTTATTATTTCATTTGATGCTAACTTTATACAACAATGTAATCCTTTCATAATAGAGTTTATATCTCTGTAATTGGAATTTCTCAGTGCTTTATTATTGTTTATGAGGTGCCTCCCTACTAATGTCTATAAACTACTTTTAAAAGTTAAAACTGTATATATTTAAGATGTGTAACTTGATGACTTCATATACATATATATAGTGAACTGATTACAAGCCAAGCTAGTTAATATAAAATAAAGTTATCTTATTTTCCTTCTTTCTTTTTTTTTTTTTGATGATGAGAGCACTTGAAATCTCCCTTAACTTATTTAACTTATTTCCAGTATTCAATACTGATGTTGTTTTTGGAGTTTGGAGTTCTTGGGTTCACTCTGGGAAAGGTGAGCTTCCATTTCAGCAGCACACGGTGAGTTTCTCCACAAGACAGAGATTTAGTTATATTTAGAGCGCAGGTTTATTAGGAGCAGGGACAGACAGAGAAGGACACTAGCATAGATGCAAGTAGGCAGGAAGAGCTTCCCCAAAGGGATGGGTTTGCTAAGAGAGGCCTGCATGGTTGCAGGCTGGCAGCCTTAGGAGAGCTGCCTCCTCTGAGGGAGGTGATACAGAGAAGTCTGGCATGGTACAGATCACTGACAGGCAGGGGGCTGCTGCCCCAGAGAGGGAGAGAGTGATGGAAAGAAGCACCTGCATAGTCACAGGTGGGCGGAGGACTGCTGCCTCAAGCCAGAGCAGAGACTGCCCTGATATAGTCCTTTTCTCTTGGGAAGGGGCTCACTCCTTTGTGGAGTGGTCTATTTGCTGCTGATTTTGTATAAATACGCGGACTCTCACAGTGGGCCCAATCTCTGTATCTTTACCCTCAGATCTGTGCTTCCAATATTCCCTACAGCAGTTTGAAACAGCAGTGTAATATAGGAGTCTCTATGACTGGGTTAATGGTCATATTAGTTCCTTCTGCTTCCACCTCCTTGCATGAGTCAGGTTTTAACACTGTGATGCCTCCCTCAGATTTTCTACTCTTTTCCTCCATCGAATACAGTGTAATTAACTCTAGTCATCATGCTTTACATTAGGTAGACTACACACATAACTAGAACTTTATATTTTTTGACCAACATCTCCCCTTCTTCCCTATGTCTCCAACCCCTGGTAACCACCATTTTACCCTTTATTTCTATGAATTTGTCAATTTTAGGTTCCACATATAAGTGAGATAATACAATACTTGACTTGTCTTTTTCTGACTGGCTTCTTTCATTTAGCATATTGACCTTCAGATTTATCCATGTTGTCATAAATGACAGGATTTTCTTCTTTTTAAGTTCAAGTGATTATATATTCTTCATTATATATATATATGTATATATACACACATATTATTTATGCATTCAATCCTCCATTGAGGAATCAACACTTAAGTTGAATCCATATCTGGATTACAGAGAATAATGCCATAATTAAAATGGGAGGGGCCCTGGTGGCACAGCGGGTTAAAGCACAGCACTAAGAAGCTTAAGCCACTTTCACATGAGTTTGATCCCCGCCGGCCCCGGAGGAGTTCCACATGGTGTGGCAGACCTCTCCTGACCCGCCCGCTGCTCCCCTCAGCAGCGTACTTCATCGATCTGCCTGTTCTGCTCCCCACTCTGTCTCTCTGGTGAAGCCTCTCGTCACACCTGAGCCTCTCGCCTGTACCCCAGTTCTGTAAGCACAAATAAATAAATCTTTAAAAAAAATGGGAGGGCAGCTATCTCTTTGAGATGCTGATTTTATTTTCTTTAGATATACACAGAGAAGTAGGACTGATTCCTTTTTCAGCAACCACAGAAGTAATAATTCTATTTTTTATTTTTTGTGTGGACTCTACATAATGTTTTCCATAATGGGGAAATTTGCATTCTTCCTTTCTCCAGATCCTTAACACCATTTGTGACCTTTGGCCTTTTTTATGATAACCATTCTAAAAATAAATAAATAAATAACCATTCTAACAGGTTGTTGTGATAGTGCACTGGAGTTTTGATTCGCATACCTGATGGTAAGTGAGCTTTTCACACATTTATAGGCCATTTGTTGTCTTCTTTTGGTAATTTTTTATTCAGGTTCTGAGTGTATTTGTTTTTGTGGTGTTCTTGTTTGAGTTTCTTATATATTTGGGACATTTCGATGTATGCTTTGCAAATATTTTCTTTCATTTCATAGATTCTCTTCACACTGTTATTTCTTTTGCTGCACAGAAGTTTTCCCACTTGATGTAGTTCTCTATGAACCACTTCAAGGCACAAACTATGTAATATTCACCTCTGTGTTCCCAGGATTCAAAGTGTTGGCACACTTTGCTAAGTAAAGTGGTTGAAGAATATAAAATATGTAAATGAATGTGTACAGTCTCATTATCATCTCATGTAAGACAGGGTGTGTGCAGTGAAAAACATTGTACTTGAGACTGAAACACACCTCTAAAGGGGGTAGATGTCCAGTGGATTATAGCACAAGGTTGTGAGTGCCTTGGTGGTGGATATGGTGTGGTAACATACATCTAAAGAAGTGTGAAACCTGTACCTCTGAGTGTTGTAAACCAATGTTACATCAATTAAAAAAAAAGAAAGAAAGAAACTCGCTTCTGCCTCAGATTATCTGCCCCAGACCAGTCCCTTAACCTCTTAAAATATCCTTATTTGTAAAATCAAGTGGTAACATCCCACTAACTGGGAACAAATTATGTTGATGCAACGCACATAGTGACCACCGAATAAAAAGCAGTTATTGTCAATTATTATGTAACTTATTATGGTAAATTTTACTGATTGTCAAGGTTAGAAGGCAGATCACCACATCCTGTGCCAGAAGCTGAAATGAGCTAATCAGACAGGATCTCAGTCCTTGAGGAATTCACGAGAAACATAAGCAAGCGATAGTAACAAATCATGAATAGGTAGGTGAAATAGTAGAATACTGTACAAAATATTGAATAACACATAGATGGCAATTTATTCTGCCTGAAAATTAGTGGTGAAGGTGACTAGAGCCGTAATGAGGGCGGAGTCTGAAGAAACGGCTGCCTGAGTCTGAAGCTGCCGGAACCAAGGTAATGCGGCAGTCGAGAGGATCTCGGTCGGGTATTGTTACTGGACCGGATCGTTCCGTCAGTGTTTTCAGATACCAAGGAGACAAAGGCTGCTCCGGGCGCTTTCGACTTTCAGAATTGCAGGCGGCAGCAGCGAAGGATGAGCAGAACTCTAGGAAAGGTAATGCGGGTCCCCTGCGGACTAAATGCGGGGGGTAGTGCGGACTAAGAGCGGAGTTGGCCGAGCGATCACCGCCAGTGTACACATCCGGGTAACCAGACTCTAGCGAGAACAAGGCTCTTTCCGGCAGCACGTGCGGCGCCTTTTACCCGACTGGACTGTGCTTTCTCCTACCCGCCGCCGCGTACTGGCCGGGGAACGCGTGAGCCACACCCCCCTCCGCGGGTTACTAACGCCGCCCATTGCCTGGAGAAGGAAAGGCTCTTACTGGGAGTCTGGAGTCCAGTATGTGGTTCCTATAATCTGTATGACCTTGAGCAGTCACTTTCTCTTTGGTTAAATTATCAACTTCCAGATTTTCTTTTTCAAAGAATACCTTTTCGATTTGATGACCTGATTTACACTTTTTTTTTAAATTTGCACTTTTACAAACCTTATCGACGTGACAGAAGTAAAACTTTTAAACCACCATAAATACATTGCTTTGTGATTCCCTCGTCCACTTAACACATTTCAGTTGTCCTTTCACTTGTATGATGCTGCTTATATTACTTATTTTAGCAATTTATAGTAAATTTTTATTTTAGACATTAATCGCAGAGACTGTCTCCAGGATGCATCTATCAGCATGATCATTTTTGCAAATAGTTCTCTAGGGAGCAGTTCCTGAATGTCTCCAGATTTGTTTCTTTAAATGCCCAAATCTCATTTCATACTTTATGAAATGAAAGAACTGTTGTTCCCTTTAGTTGAATTGTGAGAATTTTGTCGGTTTGGTGAAAAAATAAGAGTATCAATCAGAGAGTTTAAAACTTCCTTTGTTAAAGATGATCATATTGGTGTCCCACATTCTTGCTCTATTTGCCTTGAATTTAAGGATGGTGAAATGGAGGAATAATTTTTCTGAGTATATTGTTTTCAACCATTCTGTATTCCTGGAGATCCCATGGAAATCTGTCATTAGGATTGTCATCTAAAGATACCAGGATATACAGGGTTGCTCCAAATCTGATATCACTGTTCCCTTCTAGGCTTACTCTTCCTGTTTACCCTACTGCTTTGGCCACATAATCTCTTCTTTAGTATACTAATGCTGAATTCCTGATCCTTAATCTTGTGCATTTTTCTTATTTAGAGTGCCCTCACCCTTCTCACCACCTATCCAAATGCTCTATTCTTCAAGACCCAGCTGAGGTTTCATCTTTGCTATAAATCTTTTCTGACCACTTCCACTCATCTGTGAAATGAAGAACAAAAACTTACTTTCACCTTCCATTTTTCAGTATAGTATTACATATTTATATAAGTATATAGTATAAACATATACAATATATTATAAATTATATGTATTATAATAATATAATACATAAAATATAAAAATAATTTCTATATTTCCTCACAGAAAGATTTTAGGGTCAGCAACTGTAATTTCTTCATGTCTGTATGTATCCAGCCAACTTTGTACTTGACCATGACCTAAAGCAGGTATCTGATATTGAATAAATATGTGAATAGACAACCATTGACATTATATAGTAAGTACTTGTTCAAGCTTGGACTTGAGCTTCAGAATTCTTAGCCCAGTCTTCTTTATTTGGGACTCAAAGAAATTTTTTTTTTTTTTTTAAGATTTATTTATTTATTCATACAGAACTGGGGTACAGGCCAGAGGCTCAGGGGCGGTGAGAGGCTTCACCAGAGACAGAGTGGGGAGCAGAACAGGCAGATGGACGAAGTACACTGCTGAGGGGAGCAGTGGGCGGGTCAGGAGAGGTCTGGCTCGCCATGTGGTCTCCTCCGGGGAAGGCAGCAGGCGGGAATCGAACTCATGCGGAAGTGGCCTCAGATTCTCAGTGCTGTGCTTTAACCCGCTGCGCCACCAGGGAGGGCCGAAATTTTTTAATAATAATTTATTTTTACATATTTTTGTGCATTTTTCCATCTCAGTTGCAATCCCTTTGGGTTTCCCATCACCAAATCACCCATGTGCCCTCACCATAGTCCAGTGCATTTCCCTCCCCCCATTGTTCAAAGAAATTTTTAAATGCAGATCATCTCGAATTCTAGATGAGTGAGAAGCCCAGACTTACTGGATTTGATTTGGCTGGAATCATATACATTCTTGGGTCTGCAGATGTAACAGAGCAGGATGGACCCAATTAAGACACTATTGCAGATATTCATCAGACCCCAGAAAGCATATTAATTGATCGCTATGGCAGGATGGTGTCTATAGAAGTCAGAATGGGGATAGGTAATGACTCACCTCTAAATTACTTTGCACAGATATTAGATGATCCAAACTCATTTCTAGATGTCACTGACCCTGAGGTTATCATTCTTTTCTGAGGGATTTGCATAACCTTGTACCTACCACAGGGCCATTATGTTTGGAGGGGGTGCCCAGTCAGTTGAGTCTTACCAGCCCAGAAGGAAAAATCTTGGGGACCAATTTCATAGGTAGTGAATTTTTTTTTTTAAGATTTATTTATTTGTGCATACAGAACTGAGGTACAAGCCAGAGGTGCAGGGGTGGTGAGAGGATTCACCAGAGACTGAATGGGGATCAGAACAGGCAGATTGTCAAAGTACACTGCTGAGGGAGCAGCTGGTGGGCCAGGAGAGGCCTGGAGAGATCTGCCGAGCCATGTGGATCACTCCTGGGGCAGGTGGGGATCAAACTCATGCGGAAGTGGCGTTAGCTTTTTGGTGTTGTGCTTTAACCTGCTGCGCCACCAGGGAGGGCCGGTAGTGAATGTTTTGAAGGGAAAACATTGAAGGCCAACACTATACAGAGTTCATAAGAACAAATAACAGTGAAGGATGAAAGAAATGACATACCAACAGATATGAATTGGGAGAACATAAGGTATGAGACAGAACACAAATTTTAGAGTGCTTAAAGGCTAGGAGTCCAAAGCTTAGAAAGTGGTCAAGAAGTTGACTGTTTCTTGGTTGCTACTAGACTGTAAGTTCTAGAGTATAGGGAGATCTTTCTGTTTTATTCATGGTTGTATCTTTAGCACCTGTCACACACTGAGGTACATATTTAATTAATGATGAGTTGAGCAGTCACCATTCTCATCACTGCTATCGATCTGACCATTAATAATTGTCTTGCACCTATTGTACTAAGCCCTTTTCACAAAGCATCTAATATAATCTAATTTTAACAACTCTATGAAGTGTAAACTTTTATAAGGAAGTTTGGTAAGTAGCAATAACCATTGACATCTGCTATCTGCTAGAAATTATGGTAGATGTTGGGATGAACAATTAACTGTCTTCTTGGAATTTATATTCCTAGCCAAAGAGACAGATTAGTTAAACAGATAACTATATAACTAATGGTGATAGCTACCACAGAAGAATGTTTCTGGGTATATAAGAAGATCCAAGCAAGTTAAAGTAGTCAGAACATTTTTTTGAGTTGATTCATGACTTAGAGAAGAATTTAGACAGGAAGAACACATGCAGAGATTCTAAAATAAAAAACATACCTGGAGTTCCAAAAGGCCCAGAGGAAATTGGGAGGTAGAGAAAAAATGGGGGTTGGATCAAAGGAGAGTGTTCAGAGAAGCATGAGAATGAGAGTTGGAGACAGAGTAGAGGACTGGACTTATATTCTAGAATGTGACTACAGGTATTTCGAAACTGAATTTAGTCCTGGAGATGTTAGGGAATTGGTGTTACAAAGCTATGGCCTAGAAGTGCCAGCTAGCACTTTCATTATGATATGAGACCAGATATTTCTTTTCTTTCTTTAAAAAAAAAAAAAGATCTAATTCACATAATGTTCGCTCTTTTAATATGAACAGCTCAGTGATTTTTAGTTTATTCACAAAGTTGTGCTGCCATCACCACAATCTGATTCCAGAACATTTTTTAAAGGATTTATTTATTTATGCATAGAAAAACTGGAGTATATGCCAGAGGTGTGGGGTGGGAGGATTCATCAGAAACAGAATAGGGAGCAGAACAGGCTGATCTACTGAAATACATTGCTGAGGACTCAGTGGGTGAGACAGGAGAGGTCTGCTGCACCATGTGGGTCATATTGCTGGTTGGGAATTGAACTCGTGTTGCAATGGCTGTGGATAGCTTCATATGCTGCACTTTAACCCCTTATGCTACCAGGGAGGCTTCTGATTCCAGAACATTTTTATAGCCCCCCAAAGTAACACTGTATCTGTAAGCAGTCACTCCTTATTCCCCACTCTGCTACCCCTCTGGTAACCACTAGTCGACTTTTTGTTCCTATGGATTTGTTCCGGTCATTTCATGTAAATGAAATCATACCATAAAGAAGCCATATCTTTCTTAAGTGATTTGCCAAGATCATGCAGCTGGTAAAATGAAAGAAGTGATAGTTAAGCCTAGGTCTGGGTAAATCTGTCGTCTGTGTTCTCAACTGCCACTAAGACTCAGTGCAAAGACAGACTTTAATGTTCAACATAGTGAGCATATTCAGAAGAAAACGCCCCTCCCAAATATGCAATCTTGAAAACCTTAGGAGAGCTAGAACACCATTTACTAGTTATATATATTAGAGTTATGCATCTTTCTGAGCTTTACTTCCTCATAGTAAAATGGGATAAAAATATCTCACAGGGTCATTGTAAGGATTAAAAGAAATGACATCTGGTAGATAGCAGGTGCTCAACAAATGGCATTATTATTGATATAATTTTCATCAACATAAATTGGTATTACTTCTTTAAGAGGTGGTGGGTAGAATGGAAAACATTATAATAATACCTTATTAATGTTATGACTCAGTAATGCTATTTTAAATAATCATAAGTAGTATTCATTAGTATACAACAGAGTAAGTTCTGTTAATATTCATTTAAAAAGCTCTCAGTCAGTTGCTTGCCCCTGGGGCCCCTGACATACTGCTATGACTACCCACTTAAGCTACTCACACACTCTAGATTTTACCCCATGACTTTGTTTCTTTGATAGTTGTGCAGTCCTTTCCTGCTGCCTGGCTCCTAGGACAACTATTTTTGTAACATACTGCAGCAGCTGTGTCCTTGTTCATTCATTCATTCATTCACTAGCTTGACTGCCCTCTTCTTCCTTTAGCTTCAGAGTGGGAGCTGCTTTTCATTTGCTGAGAGGGGGAGGGAATATTTGTGGATACAGTCCCCAAATAGATTACTTTTGTCCTGATAAATAATGCCAAGCCCTGCAGGGGAGAGGACACACATTCATTTACCAGAGCTGAAAGGGAGAGAAGTCACACCACAATTTGAATGCCTTCCAAAAAGTTGTTAGCCATTAAGTCTGGCTTTTAGATAATTAAATCCTTAGCTATTGTAGAAACTCAGAAATATAAACAATTAAACCGTAGAAAAGTCAGTTTCATTTAGATCTTTCTTCCTATACAATTCCTCTTTTGTATGAAGTGACCCACTTACGAATATATTCTATTTGCTCTGATTTCTATTCTGTTTGTCATGGCTGATAGATTATAGGCCTGAAGAGTCCTTAGAGTTATTTGCTCTAAGTCCAAAGAAAGAAGTACTAGCCAAGGTATGGTGGCCATTGATGGGGGAGCTGATCAGAGCTCCTCTCTCCTGGGGCTCCAAGTTCCTTACTCTTTATGCTGATCCAATATTATATTAAGTATATTCCATACATACTTTACAGAGCATTTTAGTATCTGGTTTAAGTATAATTTTTAAGATTATCTACATATTTTGCTTTTGCTTCCATCTGTTCATTTCCTTCCCAATCTTCATGTCCTCGCATTCTTTGGAAGACTTTTTCTAAATGTGAGCATTTCCCCCATTCATTTATCTGAGAGAAGTGGTAAAGAGTAGGAAAATTATGGCTTTGGAGTCAGAAAACTAATACTCAATGATGGTTTTGACAGTAGGTTTGTGAGATAAATTTACTAAATCTCAGTTTCCTTACTTGTAAAATGGGATAATACTGTTTGTTTTATAACGATATTGTAATTCAGATACAGGGTAGATACTCTGAAAATTGATGTGGGGGCGTTCCCTGGTAGCACAGAGGGTTAAAGCACAACACTGTGAAGTTATCCGCAGCCACTGCCGCTCGAGTTCTGTCCCTGGCCAGCAAGGTGACCCACAAGGCCACATGGTGCAGCAAACCTCTCCTGACCTGCCCGCTGCTCCCCTCAGCAGTGTCAGTCAATCTGTCTGTCTCTGGTGAATCCTCTTCACCCCCACACCTCTCGCCAGTACCCCAGTTTCTATATGCATAAATAAATAAAATCTTTAAAAAAAAAGATATTGCTTTAAAAAATTGGTGTGGGTGCTTAATCATTGATGGTACCAGTGATTATCACTCATTCACTTATTTTTTCTTATCATTTGTTTATCACTAGAACAAACCTTTATTGTTTTCCAAGTGCTTGAGAAGAAATCAACATGACCTGTACCTCTGTAGATTTTTTTTTAAGGTGTATTTTAATTACTTCAGCACACAAGAACTGGGGTATAAGCCAGAAGTGCGGGTGTAAGAGGATTCACCAGAGACAGAGTGGGAAGCAGAACAGGTGGACCTACTGAGATACACTGCTGAGGGGAGCAGCAGTCAAAACAAGAAAGATCTGCTGTACCATTTGGGCCAGCTCCCCAGTCAGGGTTTGAACTCATGCTGCAGAGGCTGGAGATAGTTTATATCCCTGAGACTTTAACCCCTGCACCACAAGGGAGACCCCCTGTATATCTTTTCACCTAGTGCTCTATGGGTGACAAGTGAAACTTTTGAAGTAATATGAAGTAATACTTTATATATCTATGGATATATATTTATTTGTCTGTGGAGAAGATTCATGACTTTGAACAAACTCTAATCATTATATATAATACTACAAAAGCTAAGAAATCCTGCCCTTATCCACCTGGATTCCTATTTCCAACCATCCAAACTCCTATTTGGATTGTGCTTACACTTTTACATGGCTTTAATAAGATATAATTCAAATATCATAAATTCACCATTTAAAGTATACAATTCAGTATAAAGTATACAATTTAATGTATTCAGAATTGTGCAAACATCACCATAACCAATTTTTCATCACCCTAAAAAAAAAATCTGTCCCTTAGCTGTTATTCCCCAACTCCCCAGATCCTCCAGCCCTAGGCAACCACTAATCTACTTTCTCTATAGGTTTGTCTATTTTAGGTATTTCATATAAATGGAATCAGAGTAATTGATCCTTTGTGACTGTTTTCTTTTCATTTTACGTAGTGTTATCAAGATTCATTCATATTGTAACAATTAATTTTTATATTCCTTTAATATTCATGCAGTAAAATAAAATAAGTTTTATTTTAGAATAGTTTTAGGTTTATAGCAAAGTTGCAAAGATAATGTAGAGAATTCCCACATATCCCAAAGCAACTTTTCTATTATATTAGTACATTTTTTATAAATTAAATCTAATATTTTATTTATATTTCCTTATTTTTTATTATTATTATTATTTTAATGTAATGCCATTTTTCCATTCTGGGTTCCCATTCAGGATACTACGTTACATTTCATTGACATGTCTCCGTAGGCTCCTCTTACCTGTGACAGTTTCTAAGAGATACTTCTTTGTTTTGCATAATAGACTCTTAAAATATACATGTTGAAAGAATTGAAGTTGTTATCTATGGTTGCATACTTGAAGGAATTTTCTCTTTATATTAATGTACATTATGGACATTTAGTATTTATTACTTAATTACTTTATAAAAAGATTCTATGTTAAAAAGATTTTTGATTGGATGCTAGCAGAACAGAGTGAGATTGAAGTAACTGGGGAAAGGGAGGTTTATGGAGGCAACTACCACTGCATTTTTCCCCCCTTTCATTGTTTTGTTGATGTTTGTATCATCATCATCACTATTACTGATAGAGACAGTATGCTGTAATAGAGGCATAGCCTTTGAAGTAAAAATGTCCTCTGAGCCACTTACTAGCTATGATTTCTTAGAATATAAACTCTCTGGGCCTCAGCTGCTTCATCTATAAGATTAGCTTGCAGTGAATTTTGAGAATTAGGGAAGGGGAAAGGGGAAACACAGTGTCTGTGTTTGACGGGTACATAGTAATTGTTTACTAATATTAGAAAAAAAACTATCAAAGGAGAGATAGGGTGAAAAAACCAAAAAGCAACATGGAAGAGGGGTTTCTGTTTGCTAAGCATTTTTTGGAGTGGGTGGGAAAGAAGGCGACTTTGGTTTATCTGCAATTTTTCTATTGACAGTAAGACAACCCTGCTAGAGACTTTGGGTCCTTTTTTGGTTTGTGTGCTAACTACACAAACTGTTTGTGGGTGTGAAGAGATGCATGGAATTCTATGATTGCTTAAGATTGTCCTAACATGGCTGTTTTCTCTGTAGGTGCTATATCTGCAAAATGATACCATTTTTAAACAAGCCTTTTCCCTCTTAAGGTAAGGATATTAATAACAATAATTAACTATAGCTAATATTTTTGTTCTGCTAGATAGTAGTTCACATAGCATTCTCCTTTCATCTCTATTTATTGCCCTGCCATCTTGCTTGTTCCCCGTTCTCACTTAATTGATAATTCCATCCTTCTGGTTGCTCAGGTCAAAGTTATCCTTGACATTGTTATTTGTCTCACATCCAATTCTCTAATAAATGCTGTCCTCTCTACTTTTGAAATACGTACAGAATTGAATTATCTCTCACCTCCAGTTTCAGGTTTCATGCTTTCTATTTTGCTAAACTGCTAGGGACCAATTCCTTCTCTCCTCATCTTCTTTATCATCATTCTATCTTCTCACCAGCTTGTTACTTTTACTTTTGTCTTCTATCCTTCACAGTATATCAGAGTGATTATTTTAAAATCAAATTAGTTCACAACACTTCTCCAAAAACTCTCGATGGCATTCCATCTCATTCAGAGTAAAATTCTTAGTTCCTACCATAGCCTAAAAGGCTTTACATAATCTGTTCCCTCATCATATACTATACTTAGTCAGCATTAGCCACACTTTGGAAGGGTTCCCTTTCAATCCTTGAAGATCTAAGCACTCTCCTACCGCAGGATTTTGCAGTTTTGCATTAGATATCCCTCTTTATTTCGGTTTGTGCCCAGATATCATCTCACCAGAGGTGTCTTCCTTAACTATCCTAAAATTGTAAAATAGCTCCCCCACCCCCACTCACCATCAGTCTTTATCTCCTTACCTTGCATTATTTTTCTTCATAGCAGGGATTACCAACTTATAAATTTGTTATATATGTGTATCACACATAATATGTATATGACACACACACATATATAACACATTTATCATATACATGTAAAATATATTTTCTGTGCCCTCCCTACTCACTAGAATATAAGCATCAAATAAATAAGGAATTTGTTAATTTTGTTTACTGCTATATACCTAGGATGGTATCTGGAACATAGTAGACATTTTAATAACTAATTATTTGATTAATGAATGATCCTCAGCGTGATCTGGTAGATATAGGTCATAGTATCTTCATTTTAAACAAATCTAGAAAGGATAATAAGTTGCTCTAAAATTTTTTTTTTAAAGATTTATTTATTTATGCATATAGAACTGGGGTACAGGCCAGAGGTGCAGTTGTGGCTAGAGGATTCACCAGAGACAGAGTAGGGAGCAGAACAGGCCTCCTGACAAAGTACACTGCTGAGGGGAGCAGTGGGTGGGTCAGGAGAGGTCTGCTGCGCCATGTGGATCACCTCTGGGGCCAGGGATCGAAATCACACTGAAGTGGCTGCTGTCAGCTTACAGTGCTGTGCCTTAACCTGTTGCACCACTAGGGAGGGCCTGCTCTAAGATTCTTAAGTGTGATCTGAAATAATGAACTGTATTATCTTCCTGGACCTGGTACTTATGAGCCTGAATGTTTTTTCAGCCCTTTATATTAGTGAAGCCTTTCTTCTCTTCCTCCCTTTCCACCTTAATCTATTTTTACATCATTATTCAGTGAACTATTCAATAAACACCTATGGCAGAGTGGTGGGCATTTTATACATTTTTCTCTGATCTTTACAAAAACAATGCAAGCATATTAATGTTGTCATTTTATAATAGAGGAGACTGGCTCAGAGAGTTTGATAGATCTTCAGCCCCATGAGATTGATCTATCATTGTCATCTTTCTAAAGATGATACAGCTGAATTACAAAGGTATGAAACAACTTGCTCGGGCCTCCCTGGTGGCGCAGGAGGTTAAGTCTCAGCACTGTGAAGCTGTCTGCCACTGAAGCACAGGTTGGATCCCTGTGAGCTGACCCACATGGTGCACAGACTTCTCCTGCTTCACTTGCTGCTCCCCTCAGCAGTGTATACCAGTGGATCTGCTCCCCACTCTGTCTCTGGTGAATTCTCACCCCTCCCTCCATCTCTGGAACACACTCCAGTTCTTGTATGCAAAAATAAATAAAAGTAAAACAACAAGGTTGCAGTTTGGAAATGATAGAACCAGCATTTAATCACAGATTTGTTTTTTTCCAACTTGGTCTACAATTTAGTTTCAGTTTCTTAGGATACTGAACTAAAATATTCATATTACGTGGTCACCTAAATAAAAACATACATTTACTTTGTGTTCTGTGGCTTCTGTGCCCAGTCTGGCTCTCATTGCTGCCCCTTCCTCCCCATCCTTCCTTAGCATGTTATTACAAGGCTTATTTTCTCCTCGGTTATTTTAAGAACCTCTGGACTGGTTCACTTGTCTCAATTTTACTTCTCATTCATTGCTTGCTTTGCTGCCAGTATTAATTTTTCAAAATTTAAAAAATAAAGTGTTTTTCAAAACTTAAACTAAATAATATCATTCCTGTGCTTAAAATCTGCCAAGACATAGAGTAAATATCAAACTCCTTAGCACAGTTACAAGGCTCTTCATGATCTGATCCCTGTATTATCTAAAGTCCCTCACTCCTTTTCCTGCCACTTAGGTTCCATGCACATTCAGCGGCTTGCTCTTTCTGTGTACACAACTTTCATATCTCTGCCAAGAATGCACAATTGAGGACAGTTCTTCATTTTTAAAATCTCAGATCATATAGTTTGACCTCTGGTGGGATTGATCACAGTTTTATGTGTGTTTCCTCCAAATTGTGTACATATTTTTGTTCTGGATCAGCTCTATATTGTGGCACATATTTGTTTACATATATCTCTCCCAATTGGACCATGGAGACATTTTATTTACTTTCAAATCCTCAGGGCCTACCACATTGTCTGGCACATAGTAACTACTTAGTAATTTTTTTTTTCATAATAGTTTATTTTTACATCATTTTGTGCCTTTTTCCTTCTCAGTCTTAATAATGTTTGTGGAAAGAAAGGGAAGAATGAATAAAAAATATCTAGTTTTGACATATTGTTAGTAAGAATCATACAAATTTTGATAACTGCAGATTATATTTGGGTATCTGATTGTATTTAACATACTTTCTCCCCCTGTTTTGGTCCAGAATTTCAGGAGACAGTCCCATCTGTTCTGTAGGTAAGCAGTTATTTTCTGATGTAGTCTGTTTCTTTAAGTGACTCTCTAATACCCTGTAATAATGTTATGTAGAATGACATCTACTATATTTTTGAGCAGATTGACCAGGACCAAATCCTACTCCTCATATGAACTAGGACAGTGGGTAAGAACATGAAGTCATAATTCAGAGCACGAACCACATATTTTTCTATGACCTTTGGTTATCTACCTCTCTGTAGCTTAGCCTCCTTATGTAAAAACTGGGATAATTATAGTACAAAATATAGTGAATTATTTGAAGATTAATGAAATAAAGCATGTAATGTGCTCAAAGAGGTTTGCTATTGATGATCTCCCTGGTATCATAGGGGTTAAAGCCTGAGCACTATTGCGCTATTGTCAGCCACTGTGGCATGAGTTCGATTCCTGGCCAGGGAGGTGGCCCATATGGCACAGCAGACCTCTCCTGTCTCACCCGCTGCTCTCCTCAGCAGTGTATATCAGTCAGTTTGCCTATTCTGCTCCCTACTGTGTAACTGGTGAATCCTCTGACCCTCTGCATTTCTGACCTATACCCCAGCTCTTACATGCATAAATAAATAAGTCTTTAAAAAATAAATAAATATGTGGTTCATAGGGAGTCAGAAATGAGTAAAAGGCAATCCCCCCAGCCCAAATAGGTTGTCAGTTATTTAACATTTATTGAAGCAAATTTCTTTTCCCTATAGGTTTGAGAATGTTATCTTTATCATGTACTAAGTTTCTATAGATCTGGGACTATTTTAACTCTGTTTTGTTTCATTGGTCTGTCTGTATGTTTGATTTGCCTATCAAATTGTCTGTAATATTTTTGGTTACTATAGTTTTGTAGTTTAGTTTAGTACCTGAGCTCACCCTAATTCTTTTTTTAAGTCTGGAATAACGTGAGGCATGTTAAATGCTGCTGGAAAAGTTCTAAATAGGGATACTTTTGAAAAGAATGGTGTGGGATAATAACATAATTTAGTTAATTTTCTATTTGGAGAAACTTAGGATGTCATGAGATTTTTGGAATATAAACAATACTATAGTAAACATCCCTGTACGCTATTATTTGTGCCTTTGTCTGATTATTTACTTAGGATATATTTGTAAATGTTGAACTGTTGGATCAAAGGAAATGCACATTTTAAAAACTACTGATGTGCTTTACCAAATTGATCTTGAGAATAAAGACACCATTTCATACTTCCTTTTTGCATGCTTATTGGTATTTAGTATATATTTTTTTTACTTAAGGGAGGGGAATTTTGTTTAGTATATTTTTTTCCTGGGGGGGGGCAGGAATTACTGTATTATTTTAAAATGCTGTTTCTTGTTTCTGTGATTTGTATGTATTTTTATTTCTAATTAGTTAGGCATTTTTCATATATGTGCTGTCCATTTATCCTTTTCTTTGTTGATTTTTCACTTGTGGTCAGGGAATCCCAGTGCCTAGAAGACTACAAAGCACAGGGTAATGTCCCAGTGTCAGCATGCCATGGTAGTTCTGCTTGAAAGGATAAATATTCAATGGCTTTTTTTTATAACTTCTTCCAGATATCTTTAAAATCAGAAATTTCAAATTTGGATTAGATTGATGTTCAAAACAGAAGAGTTGGGAGCAGTGGCCCATTCTTAACTGTACCCATTATACTCGCTGTGAGCTTTGGGTGCCTTTCCAGCTGTTCTTTTCCAAGGAAAATGATTGCAGTGACCATGTTTTTCTTATTGATTTAAACACATGGAAAGGTAGCAATAAGTAAATAAATAAGTAAGTACATATTCATGTATCTATGTAGAAAAGCCTAAAGGTTTTAAATAAAGGGAATACTGAGTCTTGTCATTACAGCTGTGCAAAATGGTACCGTCAGAGAAACACGGTACATTCAAGTCTAAATAATTCAATGTAATAAGAACAAATTTTGAAAAGAAATTTTGAAAAAGTAGATAACTGTCAGGGCCAAATCATTGCAGATTGCCTTGATACAGTATTTTCAGAATCTTTTTCCTTTCCTTCTTAAATATACACTTACTGAGCACATACTACTAGCCAGGTGCTGAGAAGTATCTGCCTTTCAGGGACTTATGGTCTATGGAGAGAATAACTTATAATTAGATTCTTGGCTGGGGATAACCCAATTTTTACCTCTTTTCCTCCTGCATAGCCCTGCTAAAAATGTTTGTTCCAGTTCTGAAGGAGAAACAATTAAAATGAAGTTGTTTGTCCTCTATCCTGGATTGATGGTATTACTTCCCCATTTAGTAAACAAGGACATTGAAGGACTGTTGACTGTGCTATATATGAAGGAGGGGGTGGAATGTGGGAGAAATCAATGTGTGAAACATCCTATAATTGTGCTAATTGAAGGTTATCAAAGCCTCCTTTTGAGATCCTGGAGTTTTGTGCCTTTTTTAGTGAAAAGGAGTTACATGTTTTCTCTGGAAGCTGCACTGTTAATGTGACAGCAGGAAACCCAGCTTAATAAGTTGAACTTATTGGAAATCAGAGGCTTTCAAACTTGTAAACTTTGTAATTGAGCCTGGCTAATTAATCTGTTTAACCATTGGTAATTTGACCCAAACCTTTCATTTAAAGGGAAAATGGTTAATTTAACAGTGGTTTAAACCAGCGTGTTAATTAACCAGCTACTTTAATTATAGGGATTGCCCCAAACTGTAATTGAAAATGCCTTTTTTTGCTGAGGAATTCCAGTAGATCAAAGACAGAGCAAGCATTCTCAGCACTTTTACCTAAGATGTGTCATCATCATGAAGAGAAGTTTTGGTTCTGCTCTTCGTATTTTTTTTTTCTTAATGCATACAGAACTGGGGTACAGGCCAGAAATTCAGGGGCAGTGAGAATTCACCAGAGACAGAGTGGGGTGCAGATCAGGCAGATTGACGAAGTACACTGCTGAGGGGAGCAGCGAGCGGGTCAGGAGAGGTCTGCGGGACCATGTGGGTCACCTCTGGGGCGGGGATCAAACGGGGTGGCCATCTTCGCAGTGCTGCACTCCAGTCCACAGCACCACCAGGGAGGGCCCTGATGGATGACTGCATTTCTCTGTGTTTAAAACGGGTGCTTTCTGTTTTCATTTACACACAATGTTTACTATAGAATGTGAAGTAAACTTAATGATATTTTTTTTAGGGCAGCAAAAAAGTTTCACGGAGACAGTGACATTTGAGTTGGCCCGAGAGGCTTGTAAGATTTTACCTGGAAGAGAGATACAGCCTCAGCAGGAGCTAGGCAAGGCACCCAGGCATGAAAACAGCATGGTTTATACAGAATGACAAGTGTAGCACTGTGGCTGAGGAGCGAGGCATATGGAGGAGTGGGAGTAGCAGAAGATGAAGTAACTGGAAATAGATTATAAAAATCAAGGTTCTTAAATACTTACCTAAGGAGTGTGAACTTTGGACAGTGGCAAACCACCACAACATTTTGAAATGTGGCAAAGACTTTCCCTGTATCATTCATTGGTATCTCTTTAGTACTGGTATAGTCCCTGGCATATAGTAAGCACTTTTAAAAAATCGTATGTGTGCAGTAAATAGATTGTTGAATAAATGAAAGAGGACATGATTAGGTTTATATGTTAGAAAGATTAGTTTGTTGTCATTCTACCACCATGGGCTCTTGCAGGAAAAAGTTTCTCAAAGAAAGATAGATAGAGGGGATGGAAAGAGTCCACGGGCCAAAAAGAGAGTAAAAGAAAGTAAACTGAGTCAGCTTAGTATCAAAAAATATCTCTGGTTCTTTAAACCACAAGAGGCCTGCTACTCCACATAGTCTGTTTTGTAGTAGAGAATTTCTCTCCTAGCCTATCATCTGTCTGCCTGTGGTGAGCTTTGAAATAAGTTTGTCTCATCTTTCTCTTTTAGGTGGGATTCTACTGAGTACCAGTCGGCAATATAGGTCAAAACCCACTCATGGCATTGGAAGATATAAGCACCTAATTAAGGAACAAGAGGTAAAAGGGGCAGGAGTCCTTTAAAAAATGATAGTGTACAGCTTTTGCAAAGACCCAGAGATCAGATATGCATAGGTTGGATAATACTGGAGCTAGAAAGGATGCAGGTCACTTCTCATTCCTCTCTGGTTGGTTTGGATATAATCCAGATTGGAGTTGATTCCACCACCTCCCAATCCTATCTCTAGGCCAGGTTATCACAATAAAAACCAAATGTTTTGGTTTTAAAAGTATCTTTTTGTGAGTTAATGGCTCTCACAGTGGAAATGATATATCCAGTTTAGTTAAATGAATGGGTTGTGGCAAATAGAGGTGGATTGACATTTTCCACCAAATAGTTGATTTTTATATTATATGCAGATTTAAAATGTGTATATATGAGTTCCTTGTATTTGTTATCACAGCTAACTTAGAGTTGGTTCTAAGCACCTATTGCATTGAGATACTTCTCTGAAATCCAGTTTCAGGAGTGCTTGAGTAGTAGTTAGATTTCATTGCAAGTGGTGATGTGGATACAACACTGGTTTGAAAGTCAGAAGGTCTGGCTTGGAGTCACAATTCTGTCATTTTCCTATAAACAGTACTGTTAGGAACCTCCCTAGTGGTGCAAGGGGTTAAGTCTCAGTGCTGTCAAGCTATCTCCAATCACTATAGCCAGAGTTCCATCCTGGCCAGGAGCTGACCCACATGGCAAAGTAAATCTCTCCTGTCTCACCTGCTTTTCCCCTCAGCAGTGTATTTCAGTTGATCTGCCTATGAAGCTCCCCACTCTGTGTCTGGTGAATCCTCTTACCTCACCTCCTCCCCCCGACACCTCTGGCCTATACTCCAGTTCTTATATGCATACATAAATTTTAAAAATAAACAGTACTTTTAGGAGGAAGATTTTACTATCTGCTTGGGGAGATTTCAGCAGCACTTTTGTGTCTTTGTCTTACTTTAATGCCCACACGTGACTATGTATGCCCCATTGCTGCTTTCTCCTTGTCAGAATTTCAATACCACTTGTGTTTGGGCAGCAAAAGCCACTCAACTTGCCGTCTTTTCCTAAGCATTATCCTTATATCAAGCATTATATGAACATGGCCACATCTGAGGCTTGTATGAGGCAGGTAGCCTCCAGCAGGAAACAACTAGACTAAAACAGTTAGTTTATAGTGGGAAGAGTACTGAATCGGAAGCCAGGGAGCTTGTGTTCTGAGCTTGGTTCTATTATTTACTGGCTTCATGGCTTTGGGTAAATTAACCTTCCCCCGCTGGGCCTGGTGCATTCTGATATTATATATAAAATGTTTTCTCTGTGTAAATTTTTCTAGAAAGAGAGTGCATTGCTTTTATCAAACTCTTAACAAAGGTTGAGAAACTCTGGATTAGAATATTTTTAAGAGTCATTCAGCCATGGAATTATGAAATAATTATCAATCATGTATTATGTTAGGCACTGTTGGGGGTACCCTGCCTGTTCAGACTAGGTTGCAATAACAGTTTACAGAATAAATGAGCATAACCTGGCTCACACTCAGAGGAAACTGGTACAACATTAGTGCTAAAATACAGATAATTATGCTCCCAGGCAGAAAGTGACAAGTGCTAAAAGAAAGATACAAAGTGCTACCAAAATTCAGGAATGACTTAACATCTGTTCCGAGTTGTGACCCTGTAGAGTAAGTCATTGGAATTGTTTTATTTTGGTACCTTCCCCTCTAAAAGTCCCACATAAATTAGCAGAAAATATAATTAGTTTTGTTTGGGTATGTACTTTTTTATTTTTTTAATTTCTTGGGATCTTCCCGCAAAAACAATTTTCTGCATAGATCCTGTTGTGAGCTGCTCCTTGGCTACAAAAAGAAGCTTAATAATGGCCCTCCCTGGTGGTGCAGCGGGTTAAAGCACAGCACTAAGACGCTAAAGCCACTTAAACATGAGTTCGAACCCCTCTCGTCCCGGAGATGATCCACATGGCGAGGCAGACCTCTCCTGACCAGCCCGCTGCTCCCCTCAGCAGTGTACTTCATGGATCTGCCTGTCCTACTCTCCACTCTGTCTCTGGTGAATCCTCTCGCTGCCACTGCACCTCTGGCCTATACCCCAATTCTGTATGCATAAATAAATCTTTAAAAAAAAAGCTTAATGCATACTTAGTGCCAACTATATCCATCTTCCTAACATGTTCTCCCATCTCATGGATACCATATTTTAACTGCACTGGACCTCTTGCTTTTATCCAAATCATCATACTTTTATTCATGGTCCCTTTAGTGCTCTTCTATCCACCAGGAAGAGGAAAACCTTCTCTCCTTCTTCATTGGCTAATACATCCTGAACCTTTAAATGCCAGTGAGGAGCAGGGTATTGAAGGAAAAATATGAATCTGCCCTTCTGAGAAATCTTCCTGAATTCCCTGTACTGGATTACTTGTCCTATCATGAGCTACTGGAGTTTCCACTGGCCTAAGACTTACTGTTCTCCATCTTAACTGTCTGTATGTGAGATCCCTTATGATAGAAGCCATGCCTCATTTTTCTATGTATCCTCAGCTCAGTGTAGGACTTGGCATTAACTAAAACACAGTAACTATTGATTGAGCTCAACTGAAATGTGGTTATTATAGTTTTTCTGGGTTTTTGTAAATCTGTAACCCACTCTATGCAAACAGCTGGCTGTGGGTGACCTTGGTTACTTGAAGAGAGTAATGCTGCCTTCGTTAGGGCTGTAGACTTTTCTCTGATGTGATTCATTGCCCCAGCGTGGCTGGCACAGTAGTGCTAAGTAGTGGTGGAGGTTGCTGTGGGTGCCTCCCTTCCTATGCAGGACTGCATGCTGAAAGCTTACAGAGATTCTGCGCCAAGTTCCTGTCCGTTTTGCTCCTCTGAGAACTGGACTGTATATACTAGAAGGCATTTTCTGGCCCCCTTCCTCTTCCTAAGCCTAGAACCCCAAAAAATCAATAAGTAGCCAGATTCCCATTTTTATTCCCTCTAAGGCCAGGCTGTCTATTCTCTTGAGTCCCACATCCATGAGACAAGAGTTAATTCTCATGCATAAACTCCCAAGCCCTTGACAATTTCTGCTTGTGTAATTTCTTCATTTCTTCTTCCAAGGACTCCACATTCAGCCATATGACTTCTAATCCTTGGGAAGAAAAAAGGCATTTGCCTCAGCTCAACTTTACTTATTAATGCAGGTTTTATTCCTTTACCAGTTTGGGGGTTTTTTTGTTGTTTTTGTTTGTTTGTTTTTTAATCTCTTTCTTACATATCCTGGTTTATAACTCTAGGTGAGTTTCCTTCCCTCCATGCTTATGATCTTGTGTTTGATGCTTTCTCTCAGAAATTGGTGAGCAGAGAGAGGAAAAAGGAAGCTTCTCCTGAGTGACAACATGGGGGTGAGAGCAAACCCTGGGTTCCCGGATCTCTTATAGTACAGGCCCTGCTTCCCTCTCAGTGATTGCTCTCTGCACCTTGTGCAGTTTATTTCCTCATGTACCCACTACCTCTCTCTCTCATGCTCTGTGCTTTTACACATGCTCTTTCCCCTCTATGACATGAGGCCTTTCTTTTCCCTCCTTCTCATCCTATAAAATGCAGCTTGATTGTGGCAGTGAGTGATCACATTTCAGAGCATATCTCTGTACCTATCACTGTTTCTCAATGTATAAGTCTCATTATTCCCTCCAGGCTCTGCATCATTCTGTTAAATTTAAAAGCTTAACATTGGAGTGATTTTTATTGTAGAAATAAAAATAATTTAGTCTTTCACACTTGTGTAGTGGTAGGTCATATCACCCAAGCCCACTTATTTCAGCTATTTCCCAGCCTCCAGTCTTGGGGTAATAGTAGCTCAAGAATCAGAGAGTTGCCTAGAGGAAAATGTAGGAGAGTGAAATTGAGGCAATATAAATTGCTATCAGTTCATAATTGTAATGTTCTATTTTCTAGGCTCTAGGGGAAGAAAGTAAGGTATATATTTCTAACTTAAACAATTTACTTCCTCTTTATAAAATGACCTCTATGAATCACAATACCTTTTCTCTTAGAAACTTTCTGTTGTGTTTACTTTTAACACAGAGGAGGTGTCAGTTCTAACACCTGTTCATTTTGTTGTAGCACACATAGAGTAGCTCTGACAGCCCCAAGTCTGCGAGGAGATTGTGGCATAATTCCCAGAAAAACCAGCATATCAGAATCACTTTATGGTGATAGTTCTGGCTTCCTAGGACTACAAAGATTGCCTTTGCCAACCTAGTGATGGTAAGGCTAGAAATAGATTATTACGACTGGCTTAGAGAGAATTGTTTTAAAGTAACATCCATCTATTCCCTCAAGAATACCACTTGTACTCATTAAAAAAGAAAACCAGGGGCCCTCCTTGGTGGCACTACGCATTAAAGCTTAACACTATGAAATAGTCCACAGCCACTGCAGCACGAGTTCAATTCCTGGCCAGGGAGGTGACCTATGTGGTGTGGCACACCTCTTCTGAACCTCCTGCTGCTCCCCTCAGCAGTGTACTTCAGTCAGTCTGCTTGTTCTGCTCCCCGCTCTGTCTCTGGTGAATCCTCTTGCCCGTCCCACCCTTCCCTGCACCTCTGGCCTATATCCCAGTTCTTGTATGCATAAATAAATAAATCTTAAAAAAAAAAAAAAAGAAGGAAAACGATCAGCCTAGCATCTGTGTGCTGGGCATGGTTAGTGCTCAGATGACTGGGACAGTCTCTTCCTAAGAAGAGTATGAGTATACAATGTGCTAGAAAAGATAGTGCTAGAAAATGGTACTAAATACATGTGCTAAATGCTTTACTAGAGGAATGAATTAAATATCAAGAGAACAAAGACAAAGAAGCAGTTCTCCCTGAAAGGAAGTAAAGGTGTTTTGGAATTCAGCTTAACAACCATTTAGATCCTGTACCCTGCACCTAGTGTGTCAGGTGCTCACAGTGCTCTAGGACACCCAGTGCTTAGGTTCACTGGAAACACTGAGACAGTAAAGGACATAGTATT